CCAGATAATAGACCGATGAGCAAAGAGCCCAGCTGTGTGAGGAAGACAGCAAGTCCATCCTCCAGAAGCAAAAGACATCTGCAGCATCAAGGTGGGGGACGAATGGAGACAGGGAAGCTGTGAGGCTGAAGCCTGATTCTAAAGGGCCTGGGATTGCATATGGGGTAGCTCGGATTGACCCACAGGAAGCAGGAACTGGGGCCAATCTCGAGGGACCCACGCTCACTGAAGATGGGCTGGAAAGTTCACGACCATCTATGTTTGACCTCATGGCAAAGTGCAGTGTGATGGTGGAACTCACCCCCGAGCAGGCGACAGAGGCAGGGGCAGGGGCACACCTCCTGGCTGTGTCACCATCACTGCGAGCACAGGAGTACGCAGGAGTCCCAGCACTGGGTTCACACGAGGTAGCAGTGTTGTAAGAGCTGCCCCAGCCCTGCATGGAGCCTGCAACTGGGCAACTGGCAGGAAGTAAAGCAAGGGCCAGCTGCTGTTCAGGGAACAGCCCTTGTTGGGACCACGCAGGCCCTGGGAAAGGAAGGAAGAAGCCTGCCCTCGCCACAGTTTTGTGTGGCATTTCCTGCGCTCTGCGAAGGATGAAGCGCAGTGGCCACCGAATCTGAGTCGCTAACCGCAGGGGCTCCCTGCGCAGCTGAATGCTCTCCTGTTCTCATTTTAAGCTGGCACTGCACAATATAAGGGTGACGAGAAAAGTGCATGCTAGTGACTTGTCATCTGGATTTTTCTTTCCTTTGAAGAAAGCAACACAAAAGCAGAGAGGCCACAAAAAGAGGGAAAAGCTTCATATTTTAGGACATTTCTTTGTTTGCTGGACTTTTTTTTTTTTTGCACCAAGCCCCACAAATTATGCCCCTGGTCTTTCTGGGGAGCCATTAACCAATTCTGAGCAGAAAAGACAAGATGCACAAGGAGGACCGGCGAGATAGCTCAGTAGACTAAGTGCCTGTTTTGGCAAGCACAAGGACCAGGGTTCAATCCCCAGGCCTGCATGCTGCACTGGCCCCACCCCCCAGGGTGCGCTGAGCTGGTGACCAAGTCTAGGCGTGGTGGTGCACACCTGTAAGCCCAGTGCTGGGGAGGCTGAAAACAGGAGGATTACTACTAGTCTGAGCTGCACAGAGAGAGACAAGACGCACAAGACTACTGCTTTAGGAGAAGTAATTGTTCCTCAAGTGTGAAAGTTACAGGACAGGGAGGCATGACCAGGAGCCAGAGCAAAGGATAAGTCACAGCAGGGGCACAGGGAAGGACAGGGCAGTCAGAAGAGGCAGGGAGAGGGGTGGCCAGGCCAGGCCTGGGGGGTGGCTAGTGATTCCCTGCAGGTGGGAGGAGCAGGGTTCTGTCTTCCACTGAGATGTGGGGCACATGAAGAGGAGTCGGGGGTAAGTGGGTAGGGGGGCGGGAGGAGTTGGTCTGGGACTGGGCCCTGTGGTGGACTTGTCAATTTCCGGTCTGTGCAATCTACTCCCCGCCTGCCCCTGTTCTGGTAAAAAAGCCCCACCTCCTCTGGCCCCAAAGGGGGACCGTCATAGTACATGAGTGCCAGGAGTCCCAACAGGATAACCAGAGTTTGCCACTATGATGTCTGTTTCTTGCTCTCACCCCAGATAAGGTTTTTTTTTTTTTTTTTTTTTTCCAGATAAGGTTTTGAGCCTAAAGGTGCAAGCCCTCCTCCTGCCTCAGCCTCCTGAGTAGCTGGGACACAGGCACCTGCCACCATGCCAGCTTGAGTTTTTTAGTTTTTCTCTCTTGCACCACAAATGACCTGAAGCTAGCAGCTGACATGGTTCTGGCCACCCAGAGACACAGGTCTGAGGGGTCAACAAGGAGGGATGCTTTTGGAGAAGATGTGGAGACTGCCCTGGAGCTTCAACATTCCAGTACCAGGCAGCCTCCAGCTTCGCAGGTGCCCTTCTTCCTGGAATCCAAGAAAGCCAGGGGACCTGCACCCCGGCCTTTTCTGTTTCCCATAGGCTGTGTGGAGTCGGGTATTGTTGCTTACATCTGCAAGAAGCCCACCCAACATAGACAGGCAGCTTCTCCAGAGAGATGTGCAAGGTACATCCAGGTCACATCAGGGAGCTGTGGGTTGCGGTTCACAAGGTAACCCTACCGGACCGGACCCCATCTCAGGACAAGCGCGGCTCTAACCCCAGTGCAATGCCCTGTCTTCCGTGCCCTGCCTTCCTCCTCCTTTGTGCTCTGCTCTGTGAAGGCGCTGAGGTCCTGTCCACTGCCCAGCACTGGGAAAAGGCCAGGCCAGGCTCTCTGTCTCCGGAGCTTCAGGACTCTCGCTTTTCCAGAAGTCCCTGGTAACACAGAGCCTGGCCACTCACCATGCACATGCGGAAGTCCAAAGCCAGTGCCCTTACGACTAAAGCATTATTTTCATAAGCTTTGCCTTGCTTTATGAGCTTGAATGGAAAATTCTATTCCCAGCCAACAGAGTCTCAGGGAGGTGATAAAAAGCAGAGCCCAAGGCTTCAGGACCTGAGAATGGCAGTTCTGACCTCTCCCCAGGACAGTGGCTCCGTCCTGTTCCAGTCTCCTGGCAGCATCTTCTCCATTTACCATTTTCCTCATTCCCCGCTGTTCGCTAACCCAAATGTATGCCAGACAGAACTGATCCTAACTAACCCGTTGTAGAGGACCGTAGCAAAGACTGCTGTTTTTTCTTCGTGCGTGCATGCATGTGCGTGTGTGCATGTGTGCATGTGTGTATGAGTGTGTGTTGCTACTGGGAATCAAATTCCAACTCACAACCTTGCACCAAGCAGGCACTGTGCTGCTGAGCTATATCCCAGGCCCTGTCTTTCTTTTTTCTTCTTTTTCTTTCCTTTCCTTTCCTTTTTTTGTCTGTTCTTTTTTCTTTTCTCTCCTCTCCTCTCCTCTTCTCCTTTCTTTCTTTTTTTGGAAAAATAGAATCCTAAATATAACTACTAAAGCAATAAACATGAAGATTCCTCAAAAAGCTGACACCTCGGTCTCCCAGCTGCACCCCTCCAGATCTTCCTGAGAGTGTCGCAGGCATTGTAACCCACGCACCCCCGGGCTTGTAGCAGCACAGCTCGAACAGCTAAATGGCGGAAGTGGGCTGGAGGTCCTTCGGCCGATGGACAGGTAAAGAAAGCGTGGTACTGCTTTCCCGTGTCATGGAAGGACAGGCGTGAGTCCTTTGTACGACAGTGGATACACCTTGAGACCATGATGTTAAGTGAAATAAGTTATGACATAGTTTCTCTTATTTGAGGAACAAGGCCCGGGTCACTGTCTGGGTGTGTCACAGAATCACTCTTGCTTATTGTGGGTTCATAGTGTCATTCCTGCTGGCTGGAATGTTGGCTTAATGATGGGAGGGTTAGCAGCTACTTTGGGCCATGGAGTAACTTCAGGAAAGGTAGCAAAAGCATGGGGTAGGAGGAATCTCACCTGTTGGTGCTGGCTCAGTGGCTCCACGGCCACACTAGCCCCGGGCTGGTTACCTCTGGACCTCCTGACAGTGCCGTAAGAAACTAAGCTTCTGTCATTTTTAGATACTATTATTTATCCCTTAATAGCTTGATAGCCAAATCTAACCCTGACAGACACTGAATGCCTTCACTTACTGAGCTGATACTTACTGGAAGCCAATGTAAGCGAGGTCCTTTTAACTTAGTGCTAAATAAACAAAGACACATGACACGAAGACCTTGGAATTTGGGGGCTTACAGTCAAGGGAGGTGGTCATATCAATGAATGTGACAACTGGACATGCATTAATAAACCACGTATCAGTCCCACAGGTGGATGGAGAGAGGACAGGAGAAACTGACCTACAGCACTGGGACAAGGTCGTGTTTATCCTCCATGCCCCACCGGTGTTTCTAAACCCAACAGGTACCATCTTTGGGATTTCCTGGCAAAATATCCAAATCTCTGAGAAGTATGAGAACTCCTAATATAACCTATTCTTAATACACTTCCAACAGTATACTTTTATTGTGTATATACAAAATTTTTAATTAATAAGAAATAATTTTGAGGTGGTGATGGTGGTACTGAGGGTTGAAGCCAAACCCTCATCCTGAGTCACAGCAACAGCCTCTCTTTAGTTTTTCATTTTGAGACAGGGGTCGCTGCATCACTAAGTTGCCCAAGCTGGGCTTGAGCTTGCACCTTCCTGCCTCAGCCTCCCGGAGCACTGGGATTACAGGCACACACTGCCTCCCCTGCCTCTAGTATTTATGAAGGGCTGTCACCTGTAGTGAGCATTCAACCACTGAGAAGCAGTCCCTGTCTGCTAACCACACCTTTCCTAGTCCCAGGATTTGATTACAGCAGCCTGGAAAGTCACATGCTAGGGTCACACAAGAGACTCCCTGGTCATTTGCTGTATGACTCCCCGTTACAAAGATGAAGAAGTGGAGTCTTGGAGGCCTGAAGGACTTGTCCGCGGTTATCTCACTTCAGAGGTGGGCACCTTGCCAAGGCAGTCTGTACCCAGCGTGTCTGCCCACGGGCCATTCTCGTTCTGGGCAGATGACTTCACTTATTATCTTCCCAACCACAAGAAAAGCCACAGCAAAGAACTCCGCCATCCTCCCTGGCCTAATCTACCAACCCGCTGTCACACACAGCCCCCAAAATGCGCCACCTCTGCTTCTCCCTGAGACTGCTGCCCTCCCTTGGGATTTGCTCTCTCTTTTTGTCTGCTCAGGGACACTGGCTACTTCCCTCTCTCCCTCTCCCACTGTCTCCCACTCAGCTGGGACATTCTCATCGGTGTGCAAACAATCGGAAAAGAGTGGCCTCACAGCTCATGTCTCCAGCCTTTCGCCGGTTCTCTTTAAAAACATCAAAGGACTTGGGTTCTGTCATCTGCAGCTGAAAAGTCTTCATCATTGCAGGACACACAGACAAGAGCCCACGGGACATTGGGGGCCGGAGAGATGGCTCAGTGGAATAAGCGCTTCCCTGGCAAGCGCAAGGGCCTGAGTTCAATCCCTGATTCCGCCAAAGAAAAAAAAGAGCCCACGGGACAACTTGGGGTTGGCATGGGCTTTCTCCTATCATAGCAGAGAAATGAAGGTACAGTAAAGCTGAATAATGTGCCCAGAGTCTGCAGTCTCCTAACTGAAACAAACCAATCTTGGGATTTAGTCTTCCCTCTGTTCAGCGTCCTTGCAGTTACTCCCCCTCTGGTCATCTCCTTTATTGGAAAGTCTGTGAAGGAAGTATGTGCTACACCAGTAATCCCAGCACTCCAGGAGGCCGAAGCAGGATTACAAATTCAAGCTCATCCTGGGCAACTTAGTGATTTAGCACAATCCTTTCTTGAAAGGAAAACATGGTAAGGCTGCGAGTGTAGCTCAGAGTGAAAGTTCTGGATTAGGCTCCCAGCACTGGATAGAAAAGTTGCTGTTCATTTGTCTTCCCACCATTGCCCTTAAGCACACTGTCTCACTCTCCAATAAAGCTGTTCTTGTTGCAGTCTCTTTCCAAGTTCACCTGGGACCTGCCTGTCACCATATGCAAAGGTCAGTCTCCAGTCCTTAATCTTGATCTTCAAGCTGCCTTAGACATGGTGGATCAATTCTTTTGAAAACTGTCTTGCTCAGCTTAGAAGATGATGTTGCCTCCAAATGTCCTATTTGCAGGGCTTCTGGGATGGTCTGTCAGCTCCTCCGTCTTCCTCCTTCTTTGTTGGCTGCTGACTCTTGACTGGGATCCAGTCCTCCACCCTTCTCTCTTTCCTATCTGTACTCAATCCCGAGACACCTCATTCCCACTCATGGTTTAAGAGCCACCCACTTGCTGGCGGGTGCTCAGGTTTATACCTCGGGCTGTCTCTTCCTAGATCCAGGGTGCTGTGTCCTTGTCCCCGCAGTTTAGATGTAGCTGTCTAGAAGGCGCCATAAATGCGCAGTCTCAAATGGAAAGCTTGATTTCACTACCTACTGCTCCTCCTTGGTGCTTTCCACTTCCATAAAGTCATAGGGCCATCGACCCAGCCGTGACTGCTCTACTTTCATTCTTTTATTTACTTATTTTGTCCAGTCTTCCTTCCACATGTCATCTTCTTCACACCACTTCTCCTGTTACTGGGTTGGAGGTCTTGCCTGGGTTCCTAATGTTCTGAACAAAGACCTGAGCAGGACAACCACGAGTAGCAGCAGGATCAGTGGATTATTTGAAAGAGAAAAGACAAGATCCTCTCCACAGAAAGAGCTCACGGCCTTGAGTGGCTTGAGCTACTTAATTATTCTTAAGTAGTCCATAATACTGGATTGAAGTCTAGAGGGCTTCAGTCCTTAGGTTTTTGAGAGGGACTGAGGGCTCAGTCAGAGGTGTGCCATTGCAAGGAGCCGTACTAAATCTGAATGATCAATGACATGGTGATTAGGGTTCACGTTGCCAAGGGTTGTAGAAGACGCTGGGCATATGCCTTGAGACTCACGTGTAAGCAGTTGCCTGGCTACCTTTGCCCAACATGTTTAGACCAGGATATCCTCCTCCTAAGCTAATGTTTAACTCAGAAGGTGGATCTGGCCCAGAAAGCAGCTCTTGGGCAGGCGGAACCCTGTTTCCCTAGGCTTTTACTTAGCTATCTCTTTCCTATCGCAGCCCTACACCTGGACCCAGAACTCACAATCTTTTGCTTGAACAGTTGCAATGTTGTCCTTCAAGCCAGGAGAAAGTCTTTAAAAATGCAAATCAGAACTGGTCACTTGGCTACCATGACAGAATGGCTTCTCGCCAGGCCCAGGTCACCACCCAAAGTCCTTCCATGGACTCAAGATCCTTTGTGACCTGGCGGCTGGCATCTTCCAGCCTCTTCTCTTCCCAGTCTTCCTTGTTCACTCTACACCAGCCACACTGGCCTTTCTACTCATCCTCAAGCTACTGATGGTGCCTCATGACCTTCGCGCTTGCTTTTCTCTCAGGTAGGGCTTATTCACTTTATTCTAATCTCTGCCCAAATGTTGGCCCCCTGAAACAATTCTTCCTGCTCACCCTACTACCATCCTTGATTCCTTTGCCAAATGTTGTCATGTGCTCATCAATTTGCATGTTTACTGTCACCTCTCCTAGTCAAAACTGAGCTGCACTGGGGCAGACTTTGTTTGCTTGGGATACATCCTTGGCGTCTAGAAGAGTCCAGCAAACAATATACACTGCACAGTGAGTGAATAACTGAAAAGACCATAGACAGCACTGTGGAATTAAGTGACAGAGATTTGTGGAAACACTTTGTAAACCGTGGAGCGCTAATCAGGTCTAAGACATGATGACATACATTATGTCTTAGTAAGCTCTTATAGAGCTGTGTGTCAGTCTATGAGGTATGACCCTTATAGAAATGAATGGGGGGGCTGGTGAGATGGCTCAGTGGTCTAAAGCACCTACTTAGAACAAGCTAAGCTAAGCAAAGCATAGGGACCACGGTTCAATCCCCCAGCACCACATGCCAGCCAGCCCTGCCCCCTGGTGGGCTGAGCTGGCCACACACACACACACACACACACACACAAATAAATAAATAAAAATTTAAAAAAAGAAAAAAAGAAATGAATGGGACAAGGTTCCTGCTCACTCTAGCTGGAAACTCAGGACGAGACCAAATCCAGGGAAGTGTTATTCTAGAACACACCAGCCAAGAGTAACTGAAGTGTACACACTAAGGGGTTGGAAGATTGTGAGTATGTGTGTATGTATACGCGCATATGTGCTGTGTGCGTGGTGTCGCACTCACTTTCTTCGTCACTGAGATGCGACATCCAGAGTCTACAACTTAAAGGAGGAGAGGCTTCCTTGGCTCCTGGTTTTAGAAGCCTCAGTCCTTGCACAGCTGGCTCCAGGGCAGAAGTCTCACAGCAGAAAGGCCTGAGTAGAGAGCAGTCCCATCAGGGCAGCCAAGAGGCAGGGAGGGAGAGCTGCAGTCAAGAAGACAGGTGAGCCCTCCAGGCCGCAACCCGAGACACACATGGGACTGCCCTCACCTCCTGCAGGCAGGTCAGCCAGAGGCCCCTGGTCTGACCCCCTTCCCAGAGCTCTGCCTCTGAGTGCATGAGAACTTGAGGGTCGGTTGATCTACAACTGTAACAGGGAGACACAAGCAAATGAAAGACTTTGCAGGGTTACAAACATGTGCACACACATGCTTGCACACACACACACACACACACACACGCCACATCAAGCTGGGATTTGCAGATTGCAGTTGTGCTCACTGGTAGAGAAGAGGGGAAAGGCACTGAAGGCAAAGGAAAGCAGGTCGATGCGCGTCCTTGGCCATTCTGACCCCTAAGCACCTTCTCGGGCAGGGCCTCCTCTTTCCTGCCTTTCCCTCTCATTTGCTGAGTCCCCGCCCTCCTTTGACCTGGCCCCCCACAGCACATTTTTGAATCTCACTGCCTACCTTTCTTGCAGCAGTTCAGTAGGAGGAAGGTCACAGCTCTTCAGAGCACAGAGGCCACAGCCCTCCAACCACCTGCCTTTGCATTTCCGGCCACCAACCTTGCATTGCAAATGCAGTTGGCTGGACGTCTCAAACTCTCCCTCACATACTTTCCTAGGAGAGATAGCTTTCCAATGAAACATCTTAAATTTTCTGTGTTTGAAAAAAAAGTATTCTTTTTTTTTTTTTTTTTTTTTTTTTTTTTT